GCTTTTGAAAGAAGCCTCACTCAAGACGCAGAGGAGGGGAGTTTTTTCCTGATGTCTCCTCCCCTTTTCACTGCTACATTAGTGGTAAACCACCCACAAGAAGAGGGTGGCCTGCTGATTTGGTGACCTTGTCCTAAGGGACAATTGAAAATGGTTTTCTACTCGTTGCCCTATTTTATTCTCATTCGGTAATATGCTTCCCTCAAGTTCAGCTTGGTGAATACCGTTCCCTTGGCCAGGTATCTCATCATGTCTGTCATAAAGAGGAAGGGGTACATGTTTTTAACATAGACAAAAATCCATGCTTAATGTCAAAGACCCATCTTTTCTTCAAAGAACGACGGAGCGGCCATCCTGGACTTTGCCAGTTGGATGAAGCCTCTGGCTAGGTTTTTATCCACAAAGTTTCTGAGCTGCTCCATCTCTCTCAGGATCATTGTTCTGACCCAGGCTTCCCCACAAAGCATGAGGCAGAGTCCTGATCCCGACAAAATCACTTTTATTAAACAAATGTGAATTCCTCTCATTTACATTCAACAAGTCTTGGCAAACAGTCTTTCAAAGGAATATTTATGACTACAGATCTTACCTATCTTGGAAAGCTGCCATGTAAATATTTTACAAATTAGGTGTTGTACAAGGAAAGACTGGGCAGAGTCTCTGAAATTCACAGACAGAACCTTCACACTCCTGAAATGAATCTAGGGACCCCCCCCCCTTTCGCTCCTCTCTTATTTCCTATGGGAGGGACCAATCACCTTCCACCTGTGACTTAACTCCCACGTCTACCCCGATTTCTGGGTTATTCTTTTCTTCTGGCACCTCTGCACATGCGCACACTGGGAACAGGCTCCAGTTGTTCCTCTGCCTCACTGTTGTCTAGCTCCATAGGCACCTGATCACTGCCAGACGGCCTTAGCCCCGTCTCTGCCTTAAATGCAGAGCCCTCGTCCGAGTTTTTGCCAGCCTCCAGGAGTGGCCCATGCTCCTCCTGAACCTCCTCACTGTCAGACTCTGCTGCCAACTCCACTGGCTGGCCACAACAGTCACTGAGTTCATCTTTGGTTTGGGTAATTTCGCCCCTGGCAGTGACTGAATCCTTATTTTCACATCCCACAAGGCAGCCTGAGCATGTGTGAGATGTCTTAGGCAATGAGGCTTGGAGAAATGCAGAGGTACCAGAGGCAGGAGAAGCAGTGCAGAGAACATGGTTCATGACGTAAAGTTTTCTGCTGACTCCAGAAAGGAAGTAAGGGTGGGTGGAAAACGTGTCACCTCAATTGTGGGGAGAAAACATTTGTGGTTGTTGTCCAAAGGAAAAACCAAATACCTGCTGATGCTCTTTGGGAATAACCACCATCCCACCAGCTTCTTAGTCATAGATTACAAAAGAAACTTGAAGAGAAACATGTCCTCAAGACTCATCTTTAGATTGATTTTTCCTTCTTCGTAGCATCTTTCTCTCCCTCCCAAGCCAGGATACCATGCTGAAACAAATCAGGAAAAATGGGCGGGGGGGGGGGAGAAGTCCAGTTTTGAACTCAGAACATCTCACCTCATTCTGCCAAGATTTTTTCTCCATCAGCTGCTGTTTTAACAGAAAGATAAAAATTAGAATATTTGGATACAAACCAAACAAAGGAAGGATATTACTATGTGTGTACAGCAAGTCTAATGCTCATAATCCCTCCTTCTTCTCCCTTACCCCCATGGCAGCTCCCCCATAATACCACTGGAGGGGCCACTCCAGCCCTCACTCCCATCTCCAATCAGCTGCCATTGCCAATGTCTAGACTAGTATTTGCTAATCTTGGCAAGGATAGGAGGACTTCAACTCCTAAACTGACCCCTGGTTGGGGAATCCTGGAAGTTCTAGTCACCCATCTTGAAGGTGCCAGAGGTTGAGGAATATTAGTCCAAGCAAATCTAGAGATGAGACATGGCTATCCAAAGACAATTATTCCATCTTCATATGGGACATTTTTCACATTCCCATCAATAAGAACAGTTATCTCAAAATTCAGAATTTTTTTTTTGCTAAGGCAGTCCAGGGACATAGCTATCCAACTTGTGCATAAAATAGCTAACAGTTTGAATGCCAGGCATTTCTAGCATTTCTAGCATCAACAGTTTGAATGCCAGGCTCATATTGTTCAGAAGATGTTCCCGGTCTTTTGTTAAAATAGCTTTCTTATCATTTAAATTGTTGATTCAACTCTGGAGCAACAAAAATAAAGGAATTACTTTAAGCTTGAACTGAGAGAGGCAGTTTGGCCTAGAGGTTATCTTATCAAAAGGGTTTTAAAGTAAAACGGAGGGAGGGCGCCCCATTTTGGGCCTGGAAGTCCTCCTGCACCAACCTGGAAGCCAGAAATGGGCAGTGGGAGTGGGGTGCATGCACGGGGGTGTTTGCATGTGCGTGTGGAAGAGTCATGGGTGCATTGCATTATGGGGGCGGGTGGGCAGGCGCTTTTGGCATGTAACAACAAAAAGGTTAGTCATCACTGCTATGAAGCCTTAGTAAGACTGCACCTAGAATATTGCATTCAGTTTTGGTCACCACACTATAAAAGATGTTGAGACTAGAAAGAATGCAGAAAAGAGCAACCAAGATGATTAGGGGACTAGAGTCAAAAACATAAGATGAACGGCTGCAGGAACTGGGCCTGGCTAATCTAGGGAAGAGAAGGATGAGGGGAGACATGAGAGCATCTTCCAATATTTGAGAGGCTGCCACAGAGAGGAGGTTGGTCAACCTATTTTCCAAAGCATCTTTGAAGGCCAGACAAGGAATAATGGATAGAAACTGACCAAGGAGAGATTCAACCTGGAAATAAGGAGGAATTTTCTGGCAGGGAGAACAATCAACCCATGGAACATAAGTTGCCTTCGGAAATTGTGGGAGCTTCAATCACTGGAGGCTTTGAAGAAGAGACTGGACGGCCATCTGCCAGAAATGGTGTAGGGTCTCCTGCTTATGCGCAAGGTCCCTACAAGGTCCCTTCCAACTCTATTAATCTGAAATCTGATGGTACCCCTTGAGCCCAGAAGGTGCCTGGCCCCTCGTTCGAGCGCACAGGCCACACCCCGCGGCTTCCAGGCCTGCCCGGCTTTCTCTGCGCGGCGACGGCGGCAATGGCCGTCACCCGCCCCTGGGCTGCCGTGCTCTGCCGCTTGGGGGCTTAGGCGATCCTGGCCGCCGGCTGAGCAGGCCGAGGCTGCCGTCCCCGGGCGGCTCCTCGCAGTGAAGGAATGACGCCGGGCGGGGAGAGCGGCTGGTTCGGCTTCGGGTTCCGCTGGACCGGCGGCGCGGAGGNAAAAAGAAATGTGCACAAAGTAAATTAGACAATAAAACTCAATATTCACTCAGCAACTGGTCTTTACTCAGCAGCAGCCATCTTACAACAACTTCCTGCCCCCAGATCGCATGGCTAGAAATGTTAACTGTTTCCTAGCATGCATAAAGAACGGCATAACAATTGAAGTTGAGATATAACATAAAGTATACACATCATTACAGAGACGATTTAGTATTTATTGTTGAAGAACCATTGGAGACAATTCCTAAACTATTACAGAGTTTTTGAGATTTAGCAAGATTGAAAATAAAGTTACAGTCAAAAACCTTGTACAAAAACAAAAAGAACAATTGGCAGAAAAAGTGGACTTGCAAAGAGTTAAGAAGGTTAACTGGATGATGCTGAGGCTGACACAGTTCTGCCATTGGAGGCACGAGATGGTAGGAGAGATGCTTGCAGGCGAAAAAGTTACGCTGTTGGTGGCTTCACCCGCATCTCCGGGGACAGATTTTCTCAGCAGCCGCCCTGGAAGGCCTCCGGGGCTGCCTATGTAGGCCGCACCATAAGGGCACCACATCTTTTATGGACACCGTTCTGGCTGGGCAAAAAGTAAGGAGTTTCGTGTGTGGGCAAAACTTTTACACGAACAACGCAAACGCAACATAGCGGAGAGAAGGGAACGTCCGAGGGCAAAGCATCTAATTGGAAGCCACACGGGGACTTCTGCGCAAGCGCCTTCCGGGCGAGAGGCGGAAGCGAGCGAGGCGCGGGGCGGGGGCGCATCTTTTAGCCTCGTCTCCGGGCTGCGTGGGGGCCCGCAACCCGGAGGGCGGATCCGGAGGGGCGCAGAGAGGCCGAGCCGAGAGCGGGGCCGCCTTCCGGCCATGAAGCCCCCGCGGGTGCCGGATCCTCGGAAGCTGCTGGCCGGGCTAGCGGCCGTCCGCGGCGACGGAAGAGTCCCGGCGCTGGACGAGCAGCTGCAGGAGCTGGAGAAGTAGGAGCCCCCCCCGCGCCTCTCCCCCCGCGCCCCTCCCCC